AAAACTGACCATCATTTGTCTCTTTCCAGGTAAGCTGTGAGCCAGAGGAGTCAGTTAAGGAGGAGGCCAAGTCATTGATCAAACATATTCTTCTCCAAGTAGGTGAGTCAGAAAGTCTGATCCTCATATCATCTTCTCTAGGGTATTTAGATCTTATAAAAGAAGTCCATAAACATGAAGAAGTTTTCCATTTCCACCATAATTTGAGAGAAAAAGCTCTTTCCATCTCATTAATCGATCTGATATCCAACCCCCCTTCCTCTTTTGGATAGCAAAGATTTTTCCAACTGACCCAATGGTATTTAGGCCTATGATTAGAAGAGCCCCAAAAAAAGTTAGACATTTTCTTTTCAAGAATGCCTTTAACTTTGTTTGGCAGATTATCCACTGCCAATAAGTGCATAGGAAATGATCCAAGAACATGTTTAACCAAGATTAGCCTGCCTGCCATAGAAAGATTCTTTTGATTCCAAGTATTGAGTCTAGATTCAAACTGATGAATGATTTTTTGGCAATAATGTTTTCTGTTTATCCCCTTATGCAGATTGGCTCCCAAGTACCTCATAGGCAAAGATGACTTTTGCATTCCCAGCAATTCATGGATGGCTTGCACTCTATAAGCAGCATGTTTTCCACAGACAAATGAACTCTTGTCAAAGTTGACAGCCTGGCCGGATGATTTTTGATACAAGGTAAGAAATATGTGAAAATTAAGTAGAGACCTGGAGTCCCCATTTAGAAAAATTAGCAGATCATCAGCATAACCTAGGTGTGAGACAGGATTTCCTTTTCTTCCAAGCCAGTAAGGCTTGATTAAGCCATTAGCAATATACCAATTTAATCCCCTAGAGAAAGCTTCAGATGCCAAAATAAATAGATACGGGGACAAAGGATCCCCTTGCTTAACTCCTCTAGATGGCTTGAAAAAACCATGACTTGAGCCATTCACAAGAACTGAAAGATAAGTAGCATTAAGATTATTGAGTATCAGTTTAATAATCTGTCTTCCAAAACCAAAGTGCTCCAAAATGTTTGCAAGAAAGCTCCAAGAGAGCCTGTCAAATGCCTTGGCCATATCAAGTTTGACAATGACATTAGAACCCCTAACTTTCTTATCGAGAGCATGCACCATCTCTTGAGCTATAAGTATATGATCAGCCATATCCTGCCCTTTCATAAATCCAATTTGTTCATTAGAAATCAGCTTAGGCATGAGAATAGACAACCTGTTAGTTAGAACCTTGGTGCAGACTTTATTGATAAAATTGGAAAGGCATATAGGTCTAAAGTCTGCAAAAGATGAAGGGTTGTCTTTTTTAGGAATCAATGCAATCAGAGTACTTGATAAACCCTTAGGAATAGGAACACCAAGGAAGAAGTCTTGCACTGCACTAAGGACATCATCGCATACAATAGACCAACATTTTTTAAAAAATTTCCCATTAAAACCATCAGGCCCAGCAGAACCATTTTGATTAAGAGACCAGACTGCTTCTTTAACCTCATCAGCATTAGGAAGAGTAACTAATGCTTGATTGTCTTCTTCCTCAACTACTTTTGGAATAAACTGCAGGATCTCATCTGGGTTTTCAACATTTTCTTGATTATACAGACTAGAGAAGTAGTCTACTGCAGCTGCCCCGATTTCAGGTAATGTACTCACCACTTCCCCAGCTGCATTTTGAATAGAAGTGATTTGTTGTTTCCTATTCCTGATTTTCACATAAGAATGAAAAAATTGCGTGTTGGAGTCCCCATCCTTAAGCCACTGTAAATGAGCTTTCTGTTTCCAAAACTTTCTTTCAAGTTTGTATTTGGAAACAAGAAGAGCTTTTTTCAAGGACCAATCAGTTCTATTAGCATCAGTAGGTTGACTTTCAAAGGACATTTCTGCCTCTAAAACCTGTTGCTCACAATTTTTAATATCATCAAAGATATTGCCGAACACATCTTTATTCCAAGATTTGAGATCAAGTTTTAACCTTTTCAGTTTGCATACTAGACCAAACATACCCTTCCCATATCTATAGGAATTCCAATTATGGCTCACAAAATCCATAAAAGTGGGGTGGCTTATCCACATATTTTGGAATCTGAAGGGTTTAGGTCCTGAAAGCCCTTTGTTAGTAAGCTGAACCAAGATAGGAGAATGATCAGAGGGAGTTTTATTTAGATGTGAGATTTGAATTTGATCAAAAACATCTAAACAAGTAGAATTAAATAAAATCCTGTCAAACCTTCTCCAGAGCCTACCATTTGTTCGAACCCCAGTCCAGGTATACTTAGTTCCACTGAAAGGCAGATCATTTAGACTACATTCTGCAATACAATTAGAGAAATCCATCATACTAGACAGCTGAGGCATTGATTGACCAAAATGATCAGAATAAGCTGCAATAGCATTGAAATCTCCACCCACGATCCAAGAATCTTTTATTACATTGGAAAAAAGCTTCAACTTTTCCCATAATAACCTTCTATTAATATAATTATGATCACCATAGATGGAGGTAATATATCCAGAAAAAATACTTGAGTTTACTTTAACATGTAAGAATTGGGAGTCCCATTCCAACACATTAATAGTAAACTGAAAATCATTCCAAAATAACCATATTTTAGAGATATCAGAAGCAAGAACTTTGTTAAAACCCAGCTTCCTCATATAGTCTTCAGCTTTATTAAGATGAACAATAGGTTCAATCACCACAAGAAAATGAATGTTCCATTGCTGAATCAGAGAGAATAACCTAGAAGCAGCACCTTCTAGCCCTCTTAGATTCCAAAAAAGACAATTCATTTAGAGATGAAAAAGGAAGTTTTTGATAGCCCAAGGGCTGAAGCCTCTGGGAATTTCTTCTAGCCCTCTTAGAGCAAGTTTTTTTGCAGTGTTTCTAGTAACCATAGATGGAACCTCTGGGAATTTCTTCTTAGTGTAGCCCTTCCTTCTTCTGGTAACAACTGTGAAAGGAGCCTCCTCCTGTATATGGTTAGCAGCTGAACTATCTTTACTTGCATCCTGTAACTCTTTTTGCTGAACAATGTGTTTAACTTTCTTAATAATATTAGGCATGTCTGCTTTCCAGGTATGGAGCTTTTCTATATGCTTGGGGTTTCCATTATCTGATGAATAGTCTTTGCAGGCCAGATCTTGATCAAACTCTAACACCTGGTGAAGCATTGATAGCTGGGAATCATCAATAATAGGTCCAATAGGCTTGACATTTTTCAAACATATGATATCAGCATCATATTTCTGAGATTGCATCTTATCCTTCTGTGCAGGTACTGACTCAGGAACTGATTCAGGTTCTGGCTGAGGCTGAGGATCATGATAGACTTCCTCTGTATCTGTATCATCTTGCAAATCAACAATTTCTGGATCACCTGAAGCCTTATCTTGTCCCCCTTGTATAGAAGTAGATGGGTCTGCGGTGTGACCATGTGTTCCCTGCTCTCCATTTGTAATTTGTAAAAATTGGGGTTGTTTGACAACCCATTTCTCTTTAAGTTTCTCAGCATCCTTCTTCGTGGGCTGTGCAATTAGATTTTTCTCTGCATCCTTCTTTGCAATTTCCACGCTATCTTGTTTAGCATCCTGATAGTATGCTCTCTTGGGACATTTGGAGGCAGAATGCCCAAGGTGAAGACATGATTTACAATATTCCTGCTTGTTCTCATATATGACAGGTTGAACAAATCCATAGGACCCACATTGGATCCAGACTTTCTGGGGGAGATCCTGAGTTAAATCCAGCTCGACACACACACGTGCCATAGAAGGCCTAGATAGATTTGCAGTGGCAGCATCTATCTTGAGAGGCTTGCCAATGAGCCCCGCAATATCAAATAACGCCCTCCTATCCTGGAGATGTAGGGGCAAGCATTCAAATCCAATCCACACAGGGACAATCGGAGATTCGACATTAGGACGAAACTCCGGAGTCCATCGGGAAACGCGCATAATATTCCCACGAATCGACCAAGACGGCTTGTTCCAGCATCTTAAAAAATCTTCCTCAGATTCAAACCGAATAACAATATGCTTCGAATCAAAAACACCAAGGTGAAAGGCACCAGTAAAACCAATAATCTCAAATGTTTTACGAATAACCTCTAAAGGTGGCCTTCCTTTATAAAAATAACCCACAAGGACACGTTGGTGACGATTAGCCAAGGTACGAATATCCTCATCAGGAAAGGATACTGCCGGATATCCTTTGTATCTCGTAGGAGTTTTAACAGAAAGAGGGGCACTACTCACAAGAACATCCGCAAAGGATTTCTTCATCCATGCATTCTTCACCGGTGGAACCACCGGCTGTCTTGGAGGATCGGTCATCAGTCGCCAGAGCTCTCACAAGGGTTTATCCAAGTTAAGATCACATATGTTGCTTCGATGTTCTAAAAATTTAATTCTCCGTCTCTTCAATCTTCGATTTTACGTAGTAACTAGTATATGATAACTAACTACTTAACTTCATTTTGTTATAAATATAAATAAAGATGAAATTTAGGTATATATAGAAACATATACTAGTATAGTTTTATCTTAAATTACGTATATCGCTTAGAAAATTGAAATTAAAAATTAAAGTAATGTTTGACGAATCTAGACGGCCTAGGTGTTCGATTAGGCGCTCTAGGAGGGCAACTAGGCGTCATAGGCGGCCGACCAATTAGTCGGAGCGCCTAGACGAAAATCAGGGCGCCTGACCACCGCCTAGCGCCTAGACGGGGACTAGTCGGACGCCTAGAACGATTTTTAGAACAGAGGGATCAAGTAAGTCAGAATTAATTAGATTATGAATATTAAGGGTAGAAAATTAATGTTTACTCTTATTTGTGTAATAATATTTATGCTTATTTATATTCTGTATTAGGCAATTTCTCTGTATGGTTCCAATTTTATGTCCCGGAAGGGACCCGTATTAGGCAATTTCTAAAAAAGTAAATACACACTATTTGTACGGAGTATTGTAACAAAAGGCCGCCTTGCTAAAGAAAAAGGCCGCCGGCTAACCTCTATTGACTATTTATATGGGGAGTATGCTTGTACGGAGTATTAGTGATGACAAAGTAGGGTTTAGATTATTTGTTGTCGATTTGGAAGAACAACACTCGGATCGATCGAACTGCGGCGAGGGCAACATGTGCAAGCGAGGTCGTGAAGAGGAAGTTTACGAGTGTTGGAGGGGGAGAAAGCTGGCCTCAGCGTATGAATTGGCAAAGGGAATCGAGTATTCGGAGCCAATGTTCACCGGGTGGAAACCCCCGCTAGGTGTTCGGCGAATTTCCACAAAGAAACAACAAAGCTCTGCTCGGAAGCGACTGCGGCTAAGGGTGAAGGGCGAAGACATCCCTCCCCTTATTAAAAGGTTTGAAGATATGAAGTTTCCTGAGCCTATCTTGCAGAAACTGAGGGGGAAGGGAATATTACACCCTACCCCTATCCAGATGCAAGGCCTTCCCGTAGTTTTATCAGGGAGGGATATGATTGGGGTTGCTTCTACCGGGTGTGGCAAGACCCTGGTATTTATTCTCCCCTTGATTATGATAGCCACCCAAGAGGAGGTCATGATGCCTATATCCCCGGGGGAAGGCCCGTTTGGCTTGATCATCTGCCCATCAAGAGAGCTTGCCAATCAAACCTATCAACTGGTTCAGGAGTTTTCAGTTGCCATGAAAGAGGGTGGTTACCCAGAGCTGAGGTCCATTCTCTGTATAGGTGGAGGACACCCGCCCCTTCCCCTGCCCTTGGGTAGTGGTGTGCATATAGTTGTTGCAACTCCTGGAAGGTTAAAAGACATGCTTGCCAAGAAAAGATTGAATCTTTACAGTTGCAGGTACATGGCACTAGATGAGGCTGACAGGCTTCTTGATTTAGGGTTTGAAGACGACATTCGGGAAATAGTGAGTTATTTTAAACATCAAAGGCAGACCCTCTTATTTTCAGCCACTATGCCCACCCGAGTTCATAACTTGGGTCTTAGCGCTCTGGTGAAGCCTGTTACCATCAATGTGGGTAGTAGACCCGGGGCAGCAAACAGCAATGTTACTCAGAGGGTTAAGTTCGTTGAAGCAGATGAGAATAAGAAGCGTTATGTTCTTCGTTGCTTGAGGAGGACCGACCCCCCTGTGATTATCTTCTGCAAGGACAAGGCTGTTGTGGATGACATCCACCTTTATCTTCTTCAGCAAGGCGTGGATGATGTGGCTGCAATCCATGGAGGCATGGACCAGGCTGAGAGGCATTACTCCATCGCTTCTTTTAAGGCCGGGAAGAAAGACGTGCTCGTCGCGACCGATGTTGCAGCGAAAGGCTTGGATTTCCCTAACATTCAACATGTAATTAACTATGACATGCCTAGCGAAATTGAGAATTATGTGCATAGGATTGGGAGGACTGGTAGATGTGGGAAGAGAGGCATAGCAACTACTCTTATAAGCCCGAGCGATGCAGCGGCGGCTTCACATCTTCTGCTTGACTTAAAGCACCTACTGAGAGAATCAAAACAGAGAATTCCATCCTTCTTACGAGATAAAAATGATGAAGACTTCAAAAAAAGTGAAGGTTGCAGTTATTGTGGCGGCCTGGGACACCAGATCAACGTCTGCTTCAAGTTGGAGAAGAATCAGAGATCCCAGCAATTTTCCATCCACACCATTAACAATTATTTTGGTTCTGGAGGGTATAAGGCAGAAATGTAAACCACCACAAACACTAGAGCCTTCCATGACACATCTCTGTATATATATTTTGTAACAGGCAGATATGAATCAAACAAATTTAACTTGTTAAATTTCCTACTAATTGTGGGTTCTTCTTTTGCCCTCCTGTAGTCCTGTGTATTCTAATCACTATTTACTACAGTAATTACTTCTGTCTGAGATCTGAACATACTGAGTAGGGTACTTCCTCCAAATATTGTACTGGCATTCTGGCAATATGGTGGTGGAATCAAGGCAAACAACTCAACAAGGAAGTTTATAATATTTTCACAGATCTTATAAAATACCTTCTATTATAGAAAGCTATGTCTATAATATTTTCACAGAATTGTATACATAAAAGTATTTCCTAACGTAGCTAAAACGGATTTATAAAATATTTGTTCCTATGCACATTGCACTGTATTTTTAACAACCGTGAATTAGGCATGGGTAACGTAGCAAATGAAATTTAACCGGAGAGTTGCATGCACCAGCCAGTGTATGATAAAATTAGGCAGAAATTAAACAAAACATGGACAACAGTATGATCAGATAATCAGATATACGGAGTAAGTAAATAAAGTAAGCAAATAAATGGAATTTATTAGCGATGCATGCCAAATTGCAACCACTCATAAAAATTTACAAACAAGGTAAATGCTAAGAAAATGGTTAGTATCTATGGCCACATAATGCCAAAGATTTCTTGACACTAGGAGCATCTACAATTGTACAATATGCACATGTGATATCAGAGATAGTCACATAAATATTAATAAATAAATTATCTATCTCCTTATTTGAATGATTTTATACAATTTCAATAAGTATTTTTTAATAATGTCAACCACAATGTCTGCACCTAGACGGTCTTCTTGATATTGTAGAGAAAATCTTATCAAAATTGTATAAAATCATTCAAATATGGAGAGAGATAATTTATTTACTAATTTACTAATATTTATGTGACAATTTATCGTGCATTGTGTCAAAACATGGACACTACGTTTTTTGGATAAAGGAAGTTTGGTAATATACTATACGTGGCTTTTATAACGAAGAGCAGCTACTTTGCCTGTATTTTAAAAATAAATTATACATCTAATCTAATAACGTATTTTTATTATATATAAAATGATTGCTTTTGTATCCTTATATATATAAAGAGCCTAAGGTAGTTAACTTGGGTAATTATACGTTACTACAGTCCAACGGAAGTCTTCATATATGCGCAAGGGTCAGCTGACGGAAGTATACCGTTTTCTTCCCTCTATTTGGGCTAACGAAACTTCAAATTACCCGAAAATATTATCCTAAACGCCGACGTGCTTGACACACAAATATCCCTGACAAGAAAAAAATACCCCTGACATGATTCCAAGCTCCACCGCTTGATTTCTGGATATCGTTGCTTTTTGCTATTTACTGCTTTTTACACAAAAGTGAGATCGTTTCATTTTGTCCGTTCATTGTTTCGCCCTCCGCGCTTTCTTTTTCCTTTCCTTCCGCTTGGCGAGATCTCCACCTGTTCTTCCAACACTGTGAGTAATTTGGCCGTTTCTTTTGTGTTTGTTTCTTTTTCTGTTTGTGCCATCTTTCTTCGTCTTGCGTTTAACCCTGTTACTTTCTTGGTTTTCTGTGGTCGGGTTGATGAGGGTGCAATTTGTTGCTAATCTGATTGTGTTTCTGTGTTGGGGTCAGCCTTGTCGTTGGGTCGCTTGGCAAGAGGCGGCTATACGGGCAGTTCACCCAAAAAAATTAATTAACTAGCTTGAGGCTGATTTACGGCTCCAAGTCTCAACGCCTCAAAGCATCCGCCGGCCTGTCGAAGAGTCTAGAACGACTCAACGCTTGAACCTGCGACATGCTGCGTTTCTAGAAATCCGACCCGCCAGTCGCCTACAGGCGACTGTCCGAACGCCTCGCTCGCCTCGCTCGCCTCACTCGCCTCGCCGGCCACCGTCGACTGTGCGGCTCTTTTCTCTGATTTCTTTGATTTCTTTGTGAGTACATCGATTACTCCGTATAAGTGTATGGGGTATGGGGTAAAGCCTGACAGGCTGTAAAGGGCTAACAACTAAAAAAATGATTGAGTAAATAAGGATTATAAGTGTATAACACCTTCCCCTCTCTCACTAATTTCTTTTGTTTTAATATAGTAGTATGATATAGTTGTAACCAGAGTAGATTTTTATGTTTTTTATAATGAATTGTGATGGTAGTGGTTTCCCATTGTTGATACTTGATATTGAACTGGTTTAAGTGTAAGTGTGGGTGAATTATGAAAATTTTCTAATTATCAGTGTTCTATAGGCAAAAACAAAAAATGTTTTTGTCCTGCCTTGGAGGTCTATCTGTTGCTGAGTTAGGATGTTTTTAGTAGAACTTAAGCTCTTAGTACAAATTTACTACATGCAAATGGTGGTACCAATATAGAACATAAGCTGTTAGTACAAATTTACCACATTGTATAAAAATTAAAACTATTTTAAATCATTACCCAACACTAAGTACAGAACCTGTGAGTTATCAAAGCATATGGTACTACTTATAAGGCTAAACTATTATCACTAAAGGAGTATAGCTAAAGTTAAACAAAGTTCAACCTGCCATATGATTGATGCGCATTCTAGGGAAATGTCGGTCAATAAGTTGCAGGGGAATACAAATTTTGAAATAGATGAAGAGGACAGAAGCATCTATAAGAACAGAAATAAAATGCAGCTGCTAAGTGTACCTGCGTATGGAATATTATTTTCGAAAATTTTCAATAATATTGGTTGGATAGAAAGAAAACTCCAGATGCCACATGTAATTGCGTATCTATTTTAATATTACTCAAAATCTCATAGTCAACTAACAACAACATGAAAAATAGATACAAATTTATCTTAACATAATAGGAAAATTTATCTTAATTATTAAGTTCTGGATAATGGAAAACTATATAAATTAAAAATTATAAGATGCAAAACTCACATAGCTTCAAATGAAAACTAACTTAGCTCATATGAATACGTGTGATTGAATTAAAAATCAAATTCAGCTGTAAAGCACCACAATTTGTTTTAACCCATAACCCGATGTGTGCATTTTCTATTTTCCGAATCTAATTGAATATCATTCTCTTTCAAATTACCTCTACAATTGACACAAGATGCCATTTCATTGGCTTGGAGATTGCATCACTATGCAGAACTACATCGCCTCTCTTTATAAGTGTCAAGTGAATTGTGAATTCCAAATTTCTTTCAAAAAATATTTTCAAACTAAAGCACTTTTAAGTCGATCAAATATTTAGAATTTGCTTGGTTAATTTGGAGGGTAGGATTTATATTGCTTTTGAAAGAAAAAACTCTATAGGTTAGTGGGCCCTTGTAATATAAGTACTCCATCTGTCAAGAATTTATACTATCTATCTAAGTAACTAATCTATCTAAAATACTTTGGTTTTAATTCTTAGACATTGTTTTCCTGCATGGATTTATACTAAAAACTTCTTTGTACCTTTCCCTCAAGAGGCATAGTGCAAACAAAATCTCAAGGGCCTCCGAAATGCTCAAGACGCCCATGCACTTGGCCTTGGTTGCCGGGGGGCTTGTGTTGGGGAGCTGTGTTGGTTTTGGGAATTTACATGTTTAGTTACTGCTGGGATTCTTTTATGTGATGTTCCAGCCTTTGGCATGGGCTCAGCCATTCCAGCCGTGATCGTCCTTTTTTTGTGTTGCGTGTGTTGGTTGAATTGGGAAAAATCTCTTTGTGTTTGCATAGGGGTGTGCCTAGAATGACCAACTCTGTTTTTTTGTTGGTTAAGTGGGTTGGTGGCCCTTTATTTGTTCCTCTGTTTTTTGCATTGAAAAGACGACTGGATTTTGAATCCCTCAGTGAGATACCTGCTCCAGAGACATCCTCATTAACCAAAGCTGTGTTGCACGCAGACAATGTTTCTGAACTACCACTACCAAACCTACGCCCCAAAATACGCAAAACTGGCAATGCTTGATGTCCGGTGTACACATGTTTTTTTTGCTATCATTGGGGTGGTCAATGCAATCATCTATTGAAGTTCTGTTCATTTGATGATGCATAGCTTGCATTCTTCCAAAAACACCCTTTTTTTACCTGCTACCGTCAAGTACAATTGACAGGAAGTGGTTGTACTTATGGAACTTCACTTACTGCCTAATTGTGCATCTGTCTACATCTCTCCCTTGCTTCTGCATTCAATATTTTTGCCTATATGCTGTTATGCAGAACACCTTGTAAATGTTCACTAAACTTTGATGCTGACGTTGTTGGGAATGTATATAAGCCTATGTTTATATTTCAATTTCATGTATGTGGATAGGCTGTATTTTTTTGCTGATAGTTTGTGCAGCATGCCATACTAGACATCACAGCATTCAGGAACTATTCTACATCCGCAGCAAACATCATTCATTGCAAATGTGGCTTTTGCTGTTTATCAGGTTCTATGTACAATTTCTGTCACCATCGCTTACATATTCGCATGCCGAACTATATATTTTTTTAAAATTTTTCCAAACTCGCAATTTATTGTTCCGCCCATCTTCTCAGGCATTATTGAGTCCCATAACTCTCAAAGAAGCTTGTACCTCTTCGGTTCTGTTATCATCTTCACAATCGTGTTATATTTTTCCCCCATATGTCTTGGTGATGTAAAAAAACATACTCTTACTTGATTTCCTTTGATGCATTCCACAATGTTAAGGCATAAAGAAACTTATTTGAACCCACAATATTTCGTAATGTATATGGTATATGTGTTATTATTTCACCTGCTCACACCCAATGGAATGGAATCTTTGTTAACCCCCTCCAAATGCTTTGTTTGATTTTCCAGATTTGTTCCCCCGTCTAGAATCATGGATTTGTTCACCACCATTACTGTGAGGCCTGCCCAGGACAATGAGGGGAATGTTACGTTCACCTATTTCCTTCATATCGTTCACGGTCGGAAGCTTGTTGTTGCCATTATCACTAAAGCAGGCGGCACCCAGTATGACTGCCACCCCAGCAACGACTGACAGCACTTTTTCATTGCTTCAGGGTTGGACAGGTGCTTGCCAACAAGATTTTGGAACAAAGCTGAGCTTGAGCAAAAACTTACTCATTTCTTGCAGCAAGGTCTT